GGGCTAGGAGCTGCTCTGCGTGCTGTTTGTGTTGTGTTTCCCTGGGCTCCTAGGGCACAGCACGCCTTGGCGAGGAACCAAGCCCTGCAGACCAGGCGGTGATCCCCTAATCATGATCCCCCGATTGCCTTTGGGGAAGACGTCCTTTGGGGTCAGCCTCGGTGCCTGCCTGGGAGCTGGGACCCTGCAGCCAGCCCCCCAGGACTTGCACCGGGGTTTGGTTGCCCCCAACCCCTTTGATTTTAGCATTAAATCTCAGAGACTTCACTGGTGCCCAGCAAGGTAAATGCTGCTCCTTCCTATAGGAACGCAGGATTTTGTTCTGCCCGGGCACTGCGTACTGCAGGGGTTAAGTTACGGTTGGCTTTGGGGAGGAAAGGAAAATCTCTCAAAGTAATTAACTTAAGATGCTGACGCTAATGAACGGCCTTTCAAAGCTGGGGCTGGTGGGGAGGGTTGATGGGAATCCCCTGTTGAATCAGTGACATTAGGGCCTTAGGAGTGATTCTGCAATTATTAGCCTGAAATGATGTTGAACATGAAGTTAATCCTGTTATCTCGCAAATATTGAGGAAACTGCTTGCTCTGGATAACTCTGTAATGGGATTATTCTAGTGAGTCTGGCACCCTTGACACTCCCTGTCTGTTCAGGGTTTTTTCTGATTTTCCTGCTCGGGGTACAGTACCCATCGGTCTCCCCGCGGGTAGTTTTGGGGGATGGTGTCTGGGGCGCTGTTTCCTGATACTGATGGATTTTTTTATAGAATTATTTCGATAAAGAGCACCCCCATTGCCCTGTGCAGCGATTCCTTCCTCCGCAGCAAAGATCCCTTGAGTTCAACCCTAAATAAAAGCCTAGGAAAAGAGCTGAAGAGCAAGGACGAGTGTGAACTGAGCCCTCTTTCATCACGCTGTCGGTGAGCTCCCGTGCTGCAGACTGCTCCCGAGCCATCAGCTCTGGTTTGAGAGCATCATCCTGCATCCCCCATAGCCTGTGGCAGTTGTTCTAGGCAAAAGCAGCCGGTGGCATTTTCAAATCATTGTCTCGAGGGTGTTCTTCCAGCCATCAGGCTGAGACATTGCTGCTCGGCCGATGTCGGGAGCGAGGCAAGAACCGAGATGATCCAGCAGGGAGGAGAGGAGAAAAGCCCTGCTGCACATCCCGGGGTTTGCTGAGGTTTGTTACGGACGTGATGCTTTCCTGCTGGCCCCACAGACCTCCTGAGGTTTGGTGGCCTGAGTTTTAGGCAGGGTTTGTCACCAGCGGGAGCAATGGGGTGGTCGCTGCCAGGTCAAGTCCATGGCTGCAGCAGAGCAAAACGTGGTGACCATCAGTAGGGTCAAGAAGTGTTTTTCCTACAATACCCACTAAGTGAGCAGGTGATTTCATGCCAAACCAGGAATTTCCATAAATGTGGGCAAGTTCCATTAATACGGGTCAGTCACCTTTTAGTTTCCCAGGTTGATTTATTCTTATTTTTTTTGTTAAAGCCGATCCGAATCTGTCAGAACCGCAGATTTTTTTTGGAGGCTTCTTTCTCCCATTGAAAAAGGTGAGGGTTTGTTCTGAGGACTGCTTTGGAAGGAGGGATAAAAGGGCACGGAGAAAGGGTTTGCTGTTCACATTTGCACACCCAAAATTTTGTGTACCCGTTTGAATGTCTTCTCTGTGTCCTGGCTGCAAGTACTGTTTGAGGAGTGCACTTACTTGGACCTGTGGTTTTCAGCCTCGTTTGTGTGCCTTTTGAAGAGCTTTCGATGGGAAATACGGATCCTCAGGGTTAGTGAATTGAACCATTCCTGCTTCCCTTAGTGGCTTTCAGACCCCTTAAAGGTAATTAATTCTCAGCGACTCTCCCCGTGAGCTGAAGCCCCTGAACTCGCATCTTGGCGTTGCTGCTCTCGTGCTGGGCATCTCCAGGAGGGAGCCCTTCGGATGCCGTGCTGGGGATTTCACCCCGATGCTCACCCGTGGGGTCTTCCCCCCGCTCAGCAGTGCCTGTGGGGCTGCATTCTTCGATCCCAGCTCATCTCAAGGTGTCTGACACAGCCGTGAGGTTTGCCAGGGCTGCCGTGGGCAGGAGCCAGGTGGGTCGGCTGCACCGCATAGCCCGCTGATTTTTGGGGGCTGGAGGTGCGAGTTTGGCTTGCATAAAGCCTGCCAGGGTTGGCTGTAGGCTTGTTGGCTTACATACCTGAAATAGTAGCGTGCGGCACCTCTTGTGCTGCAAAATTTGTCTGAGGGGGTGAGCAAATATTGGAGCAGCTGGCCCTGGCGGAGCTCACAGCTGCTGGTGGTCCCAAAGCTGGTCCTGAAGGGCTGTGGGGGCTGTGCCAGGCTGTGGTCACGGCTCTCCCCTTTCCATTTAGCCCTGTGTCCTTGGGGCCCTGCCTGCAGCGGTGCTCGGAGGCTGTCTGCAGCCCCACGTGCAAGCGTGAGCAGGCAGGAGTGCTGCCTAATAGGTTTGGAAGGGATTTAGGGTGGCAGCTCTTTTTGGGGACACCAGGCAGGGTCACCGTGGCGCTCTGCAAACGCAGCAAGAGGGCAGCCAGCGGGGCGAGGGATTTGGGTGAATTTGGGTGAAACTTGAGGCTCCTGGCCATGGGCTAGGGGTTGTGTGTGCAATGGGGGAAACGGCCTCTGGGACAGACAGCTTCTTGCGAGGCTACCACGAGCTGCGCCTCCCGACCTGTCGGCGTTATCTCATCTTGTGACATTTCCTTTAATTATACGGAACGTCCTTGACGCGGTAAACAACGGCCGTGGCATTGTCCCTGCTGCTCGTGACTCAGGCACGGCTCAGGCGCCGTTCGGTGCGGGGACGGGGCTGGGGGCAGTGGGTGCCGTAAGCTCCCTGCCGGCCGTGGTCGCCTCTGCTCCTGCCACAGGCACCTGCCCCGTTTTTGCTTTCAGGGGACCTTTTTTGGGTTGTTAGGAGGGCGCTGTATGAAGGCAAGGGATGGGGTTTGGGGAGTACAGAGCTCACATTCGGCTCCTGCTCCTCCGAGCCTTTCACAATTCTCTCCCAAGCAAAATCGGGGGCTCAAAAAGCGTAAGGAAGGGACGGCCCCCATCCCAACCCCAAGCTTTGCTTTGGGCACATGCCAGCAGCCATCTCTCGCTCTGCCCGTGTCAATCTCTCACCCTGCTGCTGCCCGGGGACACCTCAGAGGTTGAGCAACAGCAAATATCAGGAGAGCAGAGGCTGAGGCTCGCTGCTGGGTGGGACCCGTGGGCTGGCCGTGCCACTGCCCGGGGTGGTCCCCGGTGGCTCCACGAAACGTATTTGGCTGGATGAACTTCCTAAGCGTTATCTGGTTCCTTAAATAGAGAATAAAGCTTGTATCAACATGAATCACAAAGTTGATAAACTGGAATGGTTCCTCTCGGAGCTGTCTGCTCGTATTGAGCAAATATTTATTCGCATTGTTTCAGGAGGCATATTTGTGCAAGACGGAGGTCAAACCTGTAATTACCTGCTGGATCCGCGCTGCTCCAAGTGGTGCTGGCAACGCACCGCGCTTGGAGGAAGCTTTGAAAGCCCGGTGTTGGTGTGCGATGCTGAAGTTAAGTTAAAAACTGCAAACTTTCCACCGGGGCTGAGGCGCACGGGTGCAAAAAAAAGCATTTTGTGGTGAAATTTAAGGGGCCGGAGCCAGAGCTGCTGCCGCTCCTTTTAAACGCTGCGCCGTGGCAGGGAGCTTGGGTTTCTTTTCCAAGCGTATCTGCTGGAGATGATCAGAAGCTGAGATTGTGTGCCAAGCTCGCCTTGCATCTTAATGAGCAGCTTCTAGCCTAGTCAATAATTAAAGCAGAGCAGGTGCGGTGGAAGTTGGGTGTTCCCCAAAAAGCTAAACCAAGGCGCTTTTGTGCGTCCCCCTGGCCGGAGCCAAGCAAGGGAAGGATGGTAGGATGCCCTGGCACTGGTTGGCTTTGTGCAGGAATTTGGAAAAAAAAAATGTAACCGGGGACTGAGGCGCTCTAGGTGTCGAAGGGTAATGGGGCTTCTCTGCAATGGGCCCTTGGAGGTGGTGGAGGAAACGCCGAGATGTGCTGCTGCAGTTTTGGGTTTTGGGATGAGGAGCACAGTGCGCTCACCGAGATTTTTGTGAAACGTTAAAAAGGAGGAAACTGCTTTTATAGAGCTCATCCTGCCCTTCGTCCCCGCGAGCGCGTGGGCAGGGAGGCTTTCAGCTCTGGGGAGTCTGCAGTCCTGGAGGATTAGAGATAGGAAGAGAGAGGTGGGACCGTGAGCTGGATGAATCAGAGCAGGGGTCGTTCTTGCTGGGAATTTGCAGCCTCCCTGTGGTGCTTGAGGAGCTTCTCCCACCCTTTTACAGGTGGCACAGAAGGACAGACCTCGCTGCTGAAGGGCTTGGTTATTTCAATCAATGTCTTGTACGAAGCTGCCAGGTTTTTGGGAGCGGGGCACCCAAAGGAAGGGCACCGAGTGCTTGTGCTGTGCCAGTCCCAAACCAGTGCCTGTTTGGGGCTGGAGAGGAGAGGGGCGTTTGGTTGGCTTGTGCTGGAGCTCTGCTCGTCTCCTTGTTCCTTATCTCCAGCATTTTGCAGCCTTAGGTTCTAGGTTCTCCTCTGAATACCTGGGGCAGAAGGCAGTTCTAAATAGGTGTAAGAAGAGCGAAGCCGAACGTCGTGTTTGTCTCTTCCCCCAACAATGGAATAATTAATGTAATTTTCCCCGCGCTTTTGCTTAACGTTTTCCTAATAATGTAGCTGGGAGTGACAGATGGGCATCCTGCCGCCGAGTGCCTCGCTGTTGGGAATCTGCTGTTGCTTTGCTGCTGCCTGATGCTCTGCTGGAATGCAGCCTGGCCCTGTGCTTCCTCTGGCTCCTGCCCAGTGCGGCCGTGACGCCGCTCCGAGGTGCTGCAGCGAGCAGCCTGTCGGCGCTGGAGGTTCCCTGGCCTGAAGCTGGCACAGCCGTGAGTCACCGCAGCCACCGACCCAGCCACGATGTGACCGAATCTTTAATTTCCAGGACTGCATTCCTTCCCCTGCCCTCACCTGCAAACAGGAAAATCTCCCTCCTGCGCGGTGAGCGGCGGCAGCGAGGGGCGAGGAGGCGCTGCAGGTGATGTGGTTTCAGCGCCGGCTGAAATGGCTCTCGGTGAAAGCTGCGTTTCCTCTGCTGGGAAACAAATTTACGGGGTGTCGTGGCCTCAAACCCGGCCCCGAAACCCTCTGCACGGCCTCCTTTTGCGTGGGCCTCTGGTTAAGCAGCTCCTTTCCTCCTGGCCACCCTCTTTGACCGTGAGACTTCCCAGTGGTGTGCGCTCTGCTTTGCTTTTCCTTCCTCTTGGTGAGGCCGAGCCTCCAGCTGTGCTCGGCCCCGCTCGACATCTGGGCTCCCCACCACGGCACCGCCATGTCCCGGACTGGGCGGACTGGTGGGGACTGGAATGCTTTGGGAAATGGGAGTTTCCCGCTTGGAAATGTCACGGGAAGCACCGAGGAAATCACGCGGTTCGGGAGCGCTTACCTCACCGCGCTCTCATCCGAACCAGCCCGAACAATGCGGTGCCAGCTGCCTTATAAATAAACTGCTTTCCGTTTCCACACCGGGGCTGGGGCTGGCTCGTAGCGCCGCGCCGGGGGAAGGAAGAGCGTCACGGCGTGTCGGCTCCCGACCTCCCAGATGGACTGCCCGGCTTCCTCGTGCTGGGCTGCTGCTGTCATGAATAACTTCCACGTGCTCCTTCCGAGCCCAAAATGGGCAGTTCTGTAGGCAGCCAGAGCTGCTGTAGGGTTTTTTTTGTGCCCTCCCTATTCTGTTGAAGCTGCTGAGGATTGCTAGCAAAGGAATTGTGACAGGAGTCTGTCCGGATTAGTGCTGTTACCACCTTTTTTTTCTCATTTCAACCCTGGTAAAATGTTGCCATGGGCTTGTACACGTGCGTCAGGCGGGTGCATTTTTGTCGAGGCCGGAGCCCCGGCCTTCCTGGGCAGGAGGAGGACGCCCAGTATCGCCGGCTGGGCGCAGCCCGCTCTGCGGGGAGGGGATGGCTCAGGAGTCCTTTCTCATGTCCCCACGGCTGAATCACGGAGCACAAACGTCTGAGTCACCGCGGATGAATGCGGCGTTTCACGTCGGTGTGAGCCGAGATGCCAACAACAGCGGCTTTATTAGCGCAGCTAATACTCATTATGGGGTTCATTAGGTTCTGAAGTGAACCAGTCCAGGAGGGCTGCTTTTGCAGCGTGTGTAAGCAGGCAGTGCCACTTGAACGCCAGGTTTTTAATGGGATGCCGGCCTGGATGGAGAGGAAATGAAACTTCAGAGGCGAGCTTTGGTGTGCGACGTGCCCCGCTGCTTGCTGCGGGCGGCTGCTGCCCGTAAACCGCTCCTCTCACCTCGTGTCACCCGCTGGCTCTCCTGAAACCCCAGAACGTTTTCCTGCGACTTTCTTGGTTACTAAATTTTCAGAAGGAAACGTCAAAGGGACTGTCAGCCGGTGACCCCTTTTGCTTTCCTGGAGAAAGCTATTTGCTATTTCGAGCTCTTCCTTCTCGTGGAGGCCTTCGCCTGTCCCCGAGGAGGACCGGCAGTACGCAATGTCAGATGGGGATTTTGGGCATTTGCTACTTGTCCTTGCTCAAAACGTGGATTTTCCTTTAGCCTAGATGTGCAGCTGGCTGGGGGCTGAGGTTTTGCCCCCTGGCTGCTGTTGGCGGAGCTGAGGCTGAGCCCCGAGCATCGGGGCGCTGCGCTCCTCATGCACCCCTGGCACAGGGCTTGGGACCCAGTGGCTTTGTCCCATATTTTTCTCCTGCTGTGAAATAGGAGGCACTGCGGGTGGAAAAGGGTCACCTCACAGCACGGCGAGGGGCTGTCTTCAGGCTGGAGCCGAGGCAGGGACGTGCTCTGTGTTGGGTTCACTGGTGCAAAACTTGCCCTTTTTGGTTTTTGCCCCTAGAGGTGGAGGTGAGATGGGCTGGCAGGGTTTTTCCTCCACCTTGAAGGTAATGTCAGTGTTAATTCGGGTCTGGATTTCTGCTGTTCTCTGGGTTTTGTTGTTCCCCCTCTGGTGGGGTGTTTGTTCTTTCCCTCCCCAACGAGAAGAGCTGCTGCTGATATTCCTAAAGAGCAGTCTGAAACCCAGACCCGGCTGTGATGTGACGTGCAGCTCTGCAGTTCTTCGCTCCTCGAGCAGCTCAGCCCTGCCTTTCGTACGCTCCTACACATCTTAACGTGAGCACCTTTACCAGGTAGCCTTGTAGATTCCCTTCAGGAAGGTTCATTAGCCCTAATCAGTGGTACAGCAATGTGGAAGTGCTTTATTGCAGCTTGTGATTTCGCAGCCCGGCGAGTTGCTGTGCGGCACCGGAGCCTGAGAAGCTGTCGCTGTGCATCCTTGGGGAGCGCAGCATCGGTTTAAACCTCTCTCACTGAAACCCAGACTAATGGTTCCTGTTCCACTAACGTAGAAACACAGGGTCAGGCACAGGATTGTGCTTTAACCACCTTCCACGTGTCTTCTGTACTGTGGCAATCTCCTGGGAAGTCAGGCAGGTACAGAGCACGTGTGCGGCGCTCTGCAGCCCTCGGGTGGGTTTTGCAGACCTCCTTCCAAGCAGGACAGCTGATGCACGGACGTGGATAGAGGCTGGGAATCATCTCTCCGAACTTTGTGGGTCCCTGCCAGATGGCTGCATGTTTAAATGGCTTTAAAATGGCTTTTCCTTTTGTTTCCAAGCAAAGAGCCTGAAATGAGGTGGAGCATGCCCGTAACCGGTGCGTTAATTGCCCACGAGGAAAATGGAAAGTGCCTCCAAGCCCGCGGACTGCGGCTGAGCAGGGACCGGTGGTGGGAGGGTGAGAAGAGCAGCGCTTCCAGCGCCATGCGTGTGTCCTGCGCGAGGGAGGAGAGTGGCATTTGCTCGTCCACCCCCTCGTGTCTGCTGATCCGTGCTCCTCCACCTGCTCCTGCTGTCCGTCCGTCCATCTGTCCATCCTGCTGGCCGTGCCACACAGAGGCAGACCCGCTTCCCCCTCTGTTTTTGCAGCTGTGCTTCAGAGGCAAGGAGCGGATTTTGCGAGCTGCCTGCTGGATGCCTGGTGCATCAGTGGAGGGACTGAGGGCATCCACATCTTCTAGGTGTCCTTGTGACTTTGGTGCAGTTTTATTAGGCTTCACAACGCCCCCTGCCCTCTCCGGTGTGGCTGCCTCCTGCCCCTGCGCGTGGCGGTCTCATTTCGGTTGTTCCACCGATGCGCATTGCTCCCAGCTGGACCAGCCCCAGTTGATAATCTTGGATTTTGTTGTTTCCCAGAATAGCAGCTTTTTTTGCGTGTGTGTTTCGCTACTGGGACTGCTGCAGCAGGGAGCTCGTCTCGAGCTCGCCCTGGCTGATATTCAGGCGCTGAAGCAGCGCGGCTGCCGGCCTGGCAGGAGCAGGGACCTCGAGGGCTGCAGCAAACCCTGGTGTTGGAAACCGTTTCCAGGAGAAACCTGGATGTGTCAGATGGGTTCGGGTTTCAGATTAGTCACTTCTGCGAATTCCTGCGTGTTTTTGAAAATGTTCTGTTTCCTCTGGGCTCAGACAAAGCTGCTGAATGCTTCAACGTCGCCCCGTCCCGCCGCGGTCTGGTCTGTAGGACACCGAAGCCCGAACACAAACTTTGGGTGAAAAAGAGCAGAATCCGAGTGGGAGTATTTAAATTCTGTTGTGATGCAAATGCTGAGAGGGACGTTTGTAACCGTAGCCATCGAGATGAGATGCGTGTATCAAAAATAAACTTTTATCTCCCTTACCGAAGCCCCTTTGTTTAATTTAAAGAAGAGCCTCTCCCTGCCCCTCCTACCTTCCCGGTAACTTTAGTGGATAGGGGAATTGTTGTTAAATCCTACTTTTATCGTGCACCTGGCTCGGTGCGCAGCAGCTGGGGCACTTTGTGATTGCCTTTAACCCCAGGGCTGTGTTACAGCACGGGGCTTTCCCCCCTGGTGGTGTCATGGCTCAGGTAGGCTCTCGGCACCCCTCCGCTCTCCCTCCTGGCTCCCAGCTTTTTCAGGGCTGGGTGCTGGGAAGGACCAAGGGGTGTTGATGATTTGGGTTGTGCAGCTCAGTGGCTGGAGCCTTGGCTGTCTCCTCCCCTTCCTGAGCTTCAGCCCCAGCCAGCGAGGCTCTGGAATGACAGGCATTCCTGCGCCAGGGGAGCTGGCATGGGCGCCTATTTATGAGAATCAAGTGCCTGGGCTCCGGGGGACGGGGACGGGACCCTCACCGCACACCCTGCCACCGCCTCGCCTCCTGCAGCCACTGCGCTCACCCGGTGCTGGAGCCCTTGCCCGTTCGTGGCCGTGGATTTACCATTTCCAAGGGCTCCGGAGCTCTCCCGGGGTCCCGGCTGCTTTTTCTCTCCCTTCCCGCTGCCTCCCGGAGAGCCGCTGGGGAAGGGATCGGATGGGGCAGCCGCACTTCTCCAGACCGGTCAGTCCGGCTGCTTTCGGTGAGTAATGGAGGGCAAGGGAGAGAGAGGGACGGCGGGGCAGGACCGCAGGTGAAACGGAGGAGTCGGGAGGGGAGGAATGCAACGCGGGGCTTGTGTAACCTGCGCCCGGCTGGGAGCCGGGAGGAGAAACGGGAGGAATCACTCCATTTCCTTCCTTTCTCCTCCGTCCCGCGCGGTGCTGCGTTCTGCTGGTCCGCGGGCAGGCTCCCAGCCCAGGTTTTTAGGGGTGGCTGCAGGGGCACGAGCTTTGCGAATAAAACTGCCTCCTTGCGTGCGCAGCACCCCGCTTTTGGGGCTTGGCAGTCGCCTCTCTGCTTGTTTTCTCTCTCCTCTGCCAGGTAGCTCTAGGCTGAGTTTTAGCTGATGGGGTTTGGTGGATGGGGAGAGCCCGATCCTCCCTTCTCTGAGGCTTTGGGAGCGGTGCTGCTTCCCAAACAGCGCCCGGTGCCGTGCCTGGGACTGGGATGCACTGGAATCTGTTTCTGCTGTCACATCCCCAGGGCTGGCAGCTGCCCGGCCCGAGCTGCCCGCTCCATGCACCAAATTAGCTGATTTTTACAGAAACACTTGACACCGCGCACAGCAAGCTCCCTGAGGGACAGATGATTTCTCTCCTTCTTTTTCACTTTTATGACTTTGAACCTCCGGAGCGTTTTTAGGGCTCAGATTAAAGCGGTGACTTTGCTCCCCACCCCCGGTTTGCTCTGGCTGGTCTTGTTCAAGAGCTGCTAAAAATAAGTGGTATTGAGAGAAGAAAACTTCATCCTTCTCCGCGCTGTCCGTGGCGATGGGCAGCGTCTCCTCGGGTTTAGGGGCTGGTAGAGGATGGATCCGCCCCGTCTCGGCCTCATCTCTCACCAGGCACCAGAGACGTGGGTGACTTTGAGAGGAGTGGGGTCACCGGCACAATGATGCTGCGCCGTGCTCGAGCCTGGGGGTTCCTGCAGCTGGTCTCGGGTCTTTGCTCGTGGTGCTGCTTGTGGAGCTCCTCCAGAACAAATTGGGACTTTGGAGAGACGGCTGGGGTGTTAATTTTGGCAGGATGCTGGTGAAAAGGAAGGTCTGGGGAAGATGATGGTGATCAGCAAGGTACAAAACCCCAGGGCTGGGACTATTTGAGGCTGCTTTGTGATCGCAGTCTTCTCTTGCTTTAAGGTCAGGATTTGTGTCTTCCCTGGACCCTTCAGGAAGCGCGCGTGAAGTTTCCGAAGCTGCTATCGGAAGCTAGAAACATTTACTCAAAGCGCTTTTCTGATGCCCTAACCTTAACAGCGCTTCCATCAAAGGAGTCTTTGTTTGCTTGTTGGGTCGGAGCTGTTTGCTTGAAAGCATTTTTGCATTCTGAGCTGCTCGGCCTGGCACAAGGAGGCTGAGTAACCCTGCGCCCCGTGCACCAGCGCCGTTTTGGCACCGGGAGCGTTTGTTGCAGCGCGGGCTGGGCTTTGCAAGGCGCTCTGGCTGTAGCCTGAGGTCCAGGCTCTGCTGCAAAACGTGCTCCCGAGGTGCAGTGACGTCGGGGTTGTAATGAGCAGCAAAAAGCTCCCGATGCACCTGCAGGCCTGGGGACAGCACAACAGCTCGGGGAGCGGAGGTGATTGAGGTGCTGGGAGCTGCTGCCGCGGCGTCGGGTGCCTAATTTGTCCCGGTGACGTCTGGCTTTCGGTGAAGCACTCGCAGCGTAGCACGGCCTTGTGAATTGACAGACCCACAGCAGCGAGCCTCGAGGCCACGGCTGGGGCAGAAGTGCCCGGTGAGCTCCTCGTGAACAGAAATCCTGGAACTTGAGCTAATTACCGGTTACCGCTCCAGTGCCACCAGTCACTGCTCTAAGGGATGGGCTCTGAGGGAAATGTGGTTTGTCCACGGTAGCAATCTGGCTCCGGAGCTCACGATTTACACACTGTGAGTCCTCTCCAGAAGGAAATGAGAAAGCATCAGCGTGTTCTTCGTGAGGCTCTGTCCAGAAGGATGGAATTAAAGAGCTCTCCCATCCCCAGACAGGGGCATGGTCCTGCTGTACCGCGGGTGAGAAGCGTCTGCTGGGGCTCAGGGCGGCTCTGCCAGCCCTCGGGTGTCTGCAGAGACATTTTGGGGAGAAAAGCAGCAAGTTCTCATCTTTTCCTAACAGCTTTTGTCCTGTCCTGGGGCTCGCTGACCCTTCCTCCTTAGGGGAGGGTTGTGCCACTTTGTTCATGAGCACTGGAACTCAGCCGTTTCCCTCCCAGGCATTTAGGAACAGAATATGAATTGTCAGCATCTGGGAGCCGCTGCTTTGATTTCTTCACATCCTCCTTGCTTTGTTAGGGTCCCCAACTTGGGCCTTGAAGTGATTTTCAGTTTATGTAATGGTGTGGCAGCCCAAAACAAAATAAACTTCTCCATAGCCCTGCTGGCTTTTGATGGTGTGTGGCCTGAGTCGAAACGGTTTCAGAATTCACCAGGACCCGTTCTGCAGTGACCTGCGCTCGATGCAGCTTGGCTCTGATTTTAATTCTTGAATTCTCTGCCCCAGAGGCCCAGCTGTCTCGGAGTGTTGCAGGTATCCTCCCTAGGAGAGATCCTTAACGAAGTAAAGGATTTTTGTTCATGTTGGTGCCTGAAACCTCTGCGGTGCCTCTCCCACCGAGGTGGCTTCTCTGGGATAACATCGCGGCAGCCACCACGTACCCCCCGTGCCCTTGCTTACAGGGTGCAGTGGGTGAGGAGCTTTATTTCTGCCTAGATTTTGGGGGTGAGATGGGAGCGTAAATGCATCGCAGTTTGCAGAAGGCGGGTTTGGAAGACCAGCTGGCCAGGCGGCTCTTGGACTCGCTGCGTCCCTCGCTCCTGGCACCGCCGCAGCTTTCTGCCTCCTCGTGTCTCCAGCCCGTGCCAATCGTGTGACGCTTCCCGAGACTGCTGCAGCCCAAACGTTTTGGGTTAAGGCGGATCTGATGCTTAAACAGCTCAAATTCACCTGCTTGTTTTGGTGGAGCGGGATCAGGGCACACGTTGAGCGTTGCGGAGGGATCTGCAGCAGCTTCGGGTAGGGAAGGGAGGCAGCAGCCGGGGCACGGCTCCGTCCCCAGACCCACGGGGTCTGTCCGAGGCATGGCAGCAATGCTCTGAAGTCTCAGCAGGTGTTTTATCACGGACTTTTCCTCGACCAGGGCTGTGCAGCGGGGCTGGGTGAGGGCTGCGGGTGTCGGGGTGCGCTCTGACACCTCCTGGCCACTCCAGGGCCACTTGGCGGCGATGGGCGCTTCGCGTGGCTTTGGTGGAAGGGCTGAGCAGCTCGTTCTCTGGCACGGGGACACACTGAGACCTGCTTACTGGAAAGCTCTTGACCTTCTCATGACTCCCCTGGCTTTACCCGGGCCCGCACAACCTCGCTTAACCTTTCCCCATAAATTTAAAATGCATTTTCCAGCCCGGGACCGCAGCGCAGGTGAGGCTGGCTCCCTGGGCGCAGACTTGCCACGCAGGTCAGCAGCCTGGGTGTGAAGGCATCAGCTCCTGATGCTTCTCCCCCTTCTCTCCAGGTCTGGTTCCTCTCTCAGCCCCGCTGCCTTCCCCGAGCATCCCTGGTGCTTCCCCTGCTGCCTCCCTGGGTACAAGCCGCAGCCTCGGACCCTCCTGCCCCTCGTGGAGCACAGCGAGGAGAGGCACGGAGAAATCCACCTTGAAATCCGCCTTGCCAAGGCTCCTTTCTCTGCGAGGTGCCCTCTCTGAGCCATGCCTCATGGAAATTCGAGGTAGAAACGGGCTGTGGCTGGAGGAAAGTTCCTTTTCCAGGGGCGTGAGCACCATCCAACGTGAGCAGTCACCAACAGGGAGGGCGTTGAAGGTGCAGCTCCAAGAGCACACCTACAGCTGCCGAGCCGCCTGCTAATTAGCAGCAAAGGCAATTCATAATTGCATCAGAGCAGGCTATTTTAAATGTCGGTGTCCACACGGTAATTATGGGGTGGGAAGGGGAAGTGTCACGGCAGGGATCGGGCACCCCGGGCCCTCCTGAGCAGCCTCCCTGCGGAGCTGGAGCCCCCGGGTGTGCGGGGAGGGAGCTGCTCTCGTGGCATCAACGCGGGGGTTTTGCTCTGCTGGGGGCACGGGGTGGTGAAAACGACTTGGGTTGGGGCTGTGCGCTAGGGGAGGGCGCGTGGTGTGCCCGTTCCCTCATCTTCCATGGCTGTTTCTGGGCAGAACTGGTGGTAAAACACCACAACTGGGTGTTTAAAACACCAAAACCCAGTGTTTTCGTGTTGGTCAAGCCCTGATTCACGGCACAAGCCGCGGCACGGCGGAGGAACCAGCCCGCAGTTATTAGATATCGATGGCGAATGTCATGACGAAACCCAGCTGCTGTATTAACCTGCCTGCTCGCAGCTAGTGGCAGCCAGGCACCTGGTGCAAAACTCCACCCCGAGATGGTATTCGGCTTCCGACAGCCAGGCCTGGGCTGCAAGGAGCTGGTGAAACAGATCCTTCCCCATGGGATAAAGCTCGCACGTGGGCTTTTCCCCACCCTGCTGCCTCCAGCTGTGCCTGGTTTGGGGTCGTGGTGTGTCCCCGACGGTCCCCGCTCATCCTTTTGTGTCCGTTCCTCCTCCCCAGCTGCTCGGAGGTGACCGGCGGGGGATTGCTCCTCGTCCTCCCTCTAATTGGAAACGGAGACACCGCAGCTCGCTGAGGTCTCCCTTCATTAATCCACGGACCTGACCGTTGAGTTTTCTTTTAATAACTCGTTCTGCTTAGCGCAGCACTGCGACGGCTCGGGTGGCAGGGCACATAGGTTACATTCCTGAGGGCGATTCAGAGAAGGGACACACACACACACACACACGTGAAATGAGCTCGGCACGGCCGTCTTCGGTGCTGATGCTGCCCCTGGGAGAGGTGTGGGGCACCGAACGTGGGCTCGGAAGTGCCTTGGGTGGCTCTTGGGACCCAAATTCAGCACGCGGCTTGTGCCTGGTGAGCAGTGCCGTGAACACTGCTTCTTCATATCGCATGTACCACTCGGGGTAATGTGCTGGTCTCTGAAGAACGTGCCTCTGAGCATCCAGACAATTCAGCTCTGGGTTTCTGGGAGCCCGAAATGCCATTTTGTGTGTCCCTGCTTCCTCCCTCCCTCCCTCCCAGCAGAAAATCACAGAATAGAGCCGCAGAAAATCGCGGCTCGGTGCTGACATCTCGGCTGCTACGTTCCACCCAGATGCTCTCCTGTTACCAAGCCAGCTTTTTTAAGAAGCAGCTCAGACACTGAATTATCATCCTTTTTTTCCAAATAAACGTGGACTGGCATCAGTTTCTCACTGGCTGTGAGTGAGCTTTCTGTAAGGGGGATGACTTTATGTTAAAAATAAATAAATAAATCCACTCCCATCCCCTCAACCATCACTGCATGAAATCTGGAGCCCAGTAAGCAGGAGGAGAGAAACCTGTGCAGCACTGGAAGGATCGTGAGTTTTAGGGGAAGTCTGAAATGGCCACAATCAGCTCTGCAAATAGTTTTTTTCCCTGCTGGCTAGCACAGCAGCAGGTCACTTCCCTGCCACTCCAGCCCCTCGATAAACCTGTGTCCTGGGCTGGTTTTCCTCTTCCTCCATCACAGCTTAAAGACCACACTTCTCACATGGGATCTGGATCCTCTTTCTGAAATATTCTCCATTTTCCCTTGTGCTGCGAGCTCTTCTCTTCCTTGCTGTCCACTGGTCTTCGTTTCACTTGTGCTCAGAGCAAGAAGCTGGGATCCTGCTGTGCCATGACCCCCTGCGCCCACCCAGCTGCCCCAAGCCTCCGAAATCCCACACCGGGCAGTGCTGCAGGTCCACCAAAAGTCAGCAGCTGGGGTTTTCTGGGTTTATTTCCCATCCTCTGCTCTTGCCCACGTTGGCAGGAGTCAGCTTTTATGTGTCCGAGTCTGTTATCCTCGGTGGGTGTTTGATGTGACAGGTACAGTGTCAGCTCCTTGCCCTCCCTGCGAAGAGGCTTTCCCCTAAAATTCCTTTCCCAATCTCTTCGCCCCAGGAGCTGGGATTGCTGGCTGAACTCACCGCCTGGCCCAGGGGGGGTTGGCTTTTCTGCAGGTACATCACACGGGCTTGCCTGAGACTGACTGAAGGGCTTTTGGGATCCCAGGAGGTTTGCAGACTCCACACTTGACCCAAAGGCTCAAACATGAGCTGCACAAGGGCGATGTGCAAGGCAGCACCCCAGCCTGGCATGCACGGTGTTGGACAGGACCTTTGTAGGACCGGAGGAAGTCTCGAGGCTGTTCCCCATGGTTTATGCTCCCACAGGGCTGGGGTGCTCCCGTCTTACCCCGTACCAAAGCCAAGGATTCGCAGCCTGCAGGCGAAGACCACGAGCAGCCCGCCAGCTGCCTTCACTTAGGTTGTGCATGCTCAGATTTTTTTTCCTGCAGGCTCTGCTGGATTCTGCTGACTGTAAGCGTTCCCTTGTAAGTGTTCCCTTGTAAGTGTTCCCTTATGTTCCTTGCGTTTCGCCCCATACCCAGGAACCGGCAACGCCAGGCGGGCCAGGACTGCAAGTCACCAGCAGGGTTTTGTGCTCTGGTTGCGCTTCCCAAGTCGTTCCTTTATGAAATTTGCTGCACTAAGTCAGGGTTTTTCTGCACGTCCCTTCCCACCTCTGTGTCCTTCTTGCGTTGTTCCCCAGAGACCCGGAGTGCAGTAGGTGGAGCGCGGGCCCGTATTGTGTTGCTTTCCTGTGTGGTTGTTGCTCTTGGCTGGCGATGCCGGCCTTATTTAGAGAGGAAAAATCAGCGAGACGGAGCTCCAGCACGGGGCTGGCAGTTGTGCTGTGCGTAGACGGCCACGAAAAGGGGCTCTGCAGGCTGGGGGCTGTGTGGTCGTGTCCTGACATGGGTCTAGCACCAGTCACTTCCAGCTGTGGATGAGAAACCGCAGCAGTGATGCGTGGTCCTTGGGCGAAGCCGTGGCACTGCAAACCTCAACTAACCCTCGGTTCGTCAGGAGGCCTCTCAGCCGTTCCCCTTTGCACTGTTAACTTTGGACACCCCCTCCTCGTCTCCCCGAGCCAAACGCCGGTGGGTGACGTGGAGGCGTGGAGTCTTGCTGCCTCCTTTGCATGAGCACACGTCGCCGTTCCGCAGGGTGCGAGGGGCTGGCTGGTGGGAGATGGCAAATGTCCTCTGTGGCACGAAGGTAAAAAATCCCTCTGTGTTCTTCCCCGTGCAGCTGAAGAGGTGGATCACCCCCCGAGCGATGCCGGCATGGGGGTCGATGTTCTGGAATCGGGCGACACCACGCCTCCCACCAAGAGAAAAAGCAAGTTCTCGAGCTTCGGCAAGATCTTCAAGCCCTGGAAGTGGAGGAAAAAGAAAAGCAGCGATAAATTTAAGGAGACTTCGGAAGGTAAGGGGGGCGGCAGGGTGGGAATCCCTCCTCCAGCTGGGGAAGGCTGCGCTGAGCCCGCTGCCTGCTGAGGGCAGCTCACGGCCACGAGCGCCAGCACACATGAGAGCCAAAGCGTGACTTGGGCGATGGGCTGGCACCTGCGAGCTCCCCAGAAACACCTTGCCGTGGAGCAGTGCTCACAGATGAGCAAATTCCTCCTTGGAAGGAAGCTCCCGAGGCAGCCGCGGGGGAGGGAGGGTTTGCTCCGTGATCACCAACCTAGCGCGAGGCGCAGGCCTGGGCGTGCAGTCCCCCCACCCTCCTATTAATCCGGGCAGTGCAGTGAAATTCGAAGCCCTTTTACTTCTTCCAGAGGCCTTTAAAACAAAAAAAAAAACAAAATATCATCTTGAACTTCTAGCCTACCCTGTTTTCTGAGTGCTTTTCTTTTTTTTTTTTTCCGATTTAATTATCAGTTTTAGAACGAAAGATTTCTATGCGAAAGCCAAGAGAGGAGCTGGTAAAAAGAGGGGTTCTGTTGGAAGACCCTGAGCAGGGTGAGTCCTGCACCTGAGCTTCTCCTCCGCCTGTCTGTGTTCTGTGTAGCTCACCTTCCTCTGCCAGCACCCCCTCCTTGCAGCTCTCCTTCTCGGGGAGGCAAATTTAAGGGCTCTTACTTCCTGACGTGGTTCTTGTCTGTCTGTCTTGCCCTCCTCGCTGTTCACCTGGCAAAGGGAAGGCAGCCCTGCCCTGGTTAGGAAGATGTCCCAAAAAAAGAGCAGTGCCTGGCTTGGACATCTTCCTGCTGCCAGCGGGTGTCCTGCATGTCCCTCCCCACCCTGTCCCTCGTGTGCGTGTCCTGGTCCAGCCACCCCGTCCCGTCCCGTCCCATTAAGGCACATTTGGGCTCAGCACCTCTGGCTTGTTCCCATCACGCTGACCATCGTGGGAGAGGCGCTGACCTCGGAGTTCAGGTTTGAAGGCTTTAGGCATGGAAAAAGGGGCCAGGAGCTGCCCTGGGGTAGGGGGATTTCCTCGAGGAGTTACGGATGGGTTGCCTCGTGCTAGTGGCCTTATATTTGGCGCTGTTGTGGCTTATTGAAGGTTTTTATTGGGGTGGCCCTTTGGGGACCCAGGAGTTGGGCTCGGTGATCTTTGTGGGTCCCTTCCAACTCGGATATTCCGTGATTTTCCTACTTTGTCATCCCTGCTGTCTGAACTGGGGTCAACCTGCCAAAATTACCCTTCTGCCAGCTCAGTTCTCCCTCGGGTGTAACAGGGAGAGGGCAGGAGCGGTGGCAGAGCAGCCCACCTGAGCTTTGGCTAAGCCCACGCTGGTTCTTCTAAGGGTGAGTGATTCTCCGTAGAGTTCTTCTAAGAAAGGTACCAAGTGGAAAAGTGGAGGTAAAATTAAAAAAAAGGTGGTTTTCAGAGCCAACCACTGAAAGCTAAGCTGCGAAGTAAAAGCTAACAGGGTTGTTTGCAGCTGCCCTGTAATAAAAGCCACTTACAGCCACCTGAGGGGGTGAGTGCTGGGCTGGAGGAAGAATTCCCCGTGGTACACGAGTGTAGGAGGTCACAGGATGAAACTGTGGAGGAGATCAAAGGCCTCGTGTAGCAAACTTCCCGCTGGAGATGACAGAGGAGAGGTCTTCCAGACGGTAAGGCTGGACCAGAAGCGTGGCTGAGAGGTGGAATTGTTTTCTGCTTGAAGTCATCTGATCTGGCCTCAGGAGCTGGAGATGGTTGGAACCGGGACAAAGTGCAAGCCCAAGGGATGAGGGAGAGATCGGTGTTGTCAGGGGGGTTAGATTAGAAGGAGCAATATCTAAATCCCTTTATTCTATGGTTTTTAAGACACTGGAAGGGTCATGAGATGGAGGGGTAGGTTTCTGTATTTCCTTGCAGTTTTACGAGCTGCTCTTACAGGGTCAGCTAATTCTCTTAGGCGAGTCCATAGCAAAAAAAATAGATAAATCTGGAAACCCCTGAGCGAGCAAGGAGGTAGGGAAGAGGCACAGCAGAGGCTTTTTGAACCCCAGAGGTCGTGCTGCTGGCCCTGACCTTGGGGGAGGCTGCGGGAGCAGCGAGGAGCCGGCGCTGTGCTGCAGCTCCCTGCCAGAGAAGGGCACGCCAGGTGTGAATGACTAAGGAAAAGCAAGATCGTACTGTTCCTGCCTCCCTGGCTGAAAACTCCGGCTAGCCAGAGGCGATTGCTGCTATAAAAAGCTCCCAGCTCATCTCTTGAGTTTCAGCCCTGGCCTGGGGAGGAAACTCCCTCTTGCTGCTGTCTGCACTTCCTGCATTTCAGGGAAGGGCAGAGCTGTTTTCCATCTCCTTGCAGGAACCAAGGCTTTTTTTTTTTTCTTCTTTTCTCTGCAGAAAAAGAAAGCCTGGGGAGCTTTCAGCTTGGCACCTTTGCTTTCAGCTTCTGCGTAACACCGGGACACTTCTGCATAACGCCGTGCTCCCCTAGGGGAGGGGAGAGAGCATCTCGGGGTGGGGAGAAGAGGGCAGGGGGATAAATCAGCAAAAATTGGAGCAGCAGAACGTGCTACAACACCTGGCAGGCTCCTGATGCTGTCCACGAATTGCCTGAGAGATGCTAGGCTGAAAAAGCTAGGGATTGTGAATCAAACGGGTGCTGTCCGTGCTCAAGTTTTCTTGAAACAGAAAGCGGTGAGAACAGGCACTGCCCCCTAAAAGGGACGTGAAGCCTGAATCTGGGAGTAATATTAAGAGGTTGTCCTGTCAAGGCAGTTAAGGAGGCAGAGCATGGTTGAGGATTTCAGCCTTTGGTAGAGCTTTAAGCGCTCTCAGGAGCATCAGGATCAAGCAGGGCTGAAAAGATTTGATTTATTTATTTACTCCAGAAGAGGTCTTGCTTCTGACATTTGGGAGACTCCATGCTGGCATCTACGAAAGCAGAGGCTGTCAGGCTGAGCTGCGTCAGGCTGATGAAGATGCATTGTTACATCTGATTAAAACAAAGGTGAAAAGTGAGGAAAGCTGCACTGCGGGCACAGCAGTCATCTTGCTGCCCAATTCAGAGTAGAAACGTAAGGAGATAGAGGATGCTCCAGCTCATTTTAAGGAATTACCAAAATCTACCATTTCGTGTGCCAGTAGAAGACTTGGTTAGTGTTGGATTTTGTGTGATTACAGAAAATGTGATTGCTGTGTTGGGGTGAGGGGATGTGGAAGCTGCTGGAGGCTCACTGTGACCCCAGCCTTGCTGGGCACACCAGTCCGGTGTTTGTAAACGTGGCAGCATTCTTCCTAAATAAGGAGGCAGGTGAAGAGGCTGCTGAAGAAGACAAACACTCGATGGGACCCCGTGCTGTAGTATTTTGCTTGTTGATAATGAAATCGAGAGCTCTCAGCCCGAGCTGGGGTTGGCTTTGCTGTGCTCTCCGCTGCAGGAGGGAGGCAGAAGATCGGCTCTTGTGGAAGCCAGAGAGAAATCGGTGCAGATCGGTGGCAGCTCAGCCACGTCTCTTCTCTCTACGTGCTTTCTGAGCGTTTTCTCTTGTTTCTCTCCTCCCGGCCCCTTGTAGATGGTGAGGATCCAGAGAAGCTGAACCCGCCGGCCCTGAAGAATGGCCACACGGTCCCCATCGGTGGTCCCGGGGCCGGTAACCCGGACAGCCAGGAGGAGGAGCCCCCGAAGTCATCCAGCCTTAGGAAGCCTGTTCCAGCTGAGGAACCAAAGAAAAGACAAGGTAAGAAAGCAGAGCGTGCAGGGTTGTTTGCTTCAGGTTCGTATGGGGCTAGCTTTGAATTCTCACCTGATTTTTCCTCCCTCCTCTGGGCCGTGCAGCCTCTGTAACGGAGCTGTGTCACCTTGCAGGCTCATCCAGCAGCCAAGCCTGGTCCCGAATCGGAGCCGGCGCAGGAGCCCCACTGTTCCCAGGCAGCCTCTTCTTCCTCCGAAAAGACCTCCCTCCACGTCCCAGGAGGCAAACGAGGTGCAAGCCAAGGATCCAGCACCCGCCAGCAGCGCCGCCAAAACCGTGCCCACCACCACGGCCCCCGTGGCAGCAAAGACAGTCAGTTCCACTGCTGCCCCCTCCCCAGCCCCCAGGACTCTGCCCCCTGCTCTTGCCGGTGCCAACACTACTGCTCCCGTCAGCACAACCAGCACAGCTCCTGCCAAGCAGCCTCCCGTCCCGCCGCCCAAGCCCGTCAACAGGAACAGCAACTCGGTGCTAGGTGAGTGCCTCCGCGAGCTGCCGTGGTGGGCGCTCCGCAGCCTGATATCCCCTCACAGAGGGGAGAGACTGTGCTTTGGTGTGATTTAGAGGATATTGTATCACAAATGTTTGGTGGTTTTTGCTGAAAACAGCTCAGTTGGGGCTTAAAAGATGTGCCAGTGTGTAGCCAGGGCATCCGTGTGCTGAGAGCAATTCCTGGAGTGCTCTGCCCCGAGTCACCCGCGGTGTCGGACGGGCACGTCTCCTACGTGCTTTGAGCTGAATCTTCACACTTAGGGAAAGAACGAAGCGTCTTAGCTCTGTTTCTAAGCAGAGGAGCTGGGAGGAGTTCCTTAAAGCTGAGGTCCTGCCCTGGTCAGGACTTTTCGAGGCGCTGCTGGGGAAAAAGAGCCATCTCCGGTCACCAGCCTGGTCGTGTTTCTCAGGTCACCTGCTGAGCTCTGCAGTGGGCCAGCAGAGGTGTGGGGAAGTTGTGTGCAAGTTACCATCTGAACCAGCCTGGGCCACTGCTTTCCGTGCAGACTGCATCCCTCTGCTCGGTTTGGGGCTTCTCCTTGCCCTAGCAGGTTGTGCAAGTGACCTCGATCTGGTATTAAACACTCCCGTATGCCAGACCAGCTCGATTAGTCCGACCGTGCCTGAGCACCCGATGAAATGCTTTCTTGTTTTCTTTAAGCTGCTTGCACACGTCGCAGAGGGTATTTGAAACGCCCCAGCACTAATTGCAGGAGGTACTTGTGGAACAAAAACTGGGGCTGGAGACAGCAGGCTGGCCAACGTCTGCTCGGACCCAGCCTCCCCAAAATCCGGGGCTGGGTGCAGCTGCAGGGGTGCGGAGGGGAAGGGAGGAGAGCAGCCAGCCCCTCGTCTCCTGGAGGAGAGAGCAGAGGCACGACGGAGCTGTCGGTGCCATCGAGGCACGAGCTTTGTTTTGCTGCTGTGGATAAGCAGCAGCAGTGGAACTGGCTTTGGGAGGTCTCTGGTGCACGCTCTGACTCCGTGTTTCAGTTGTGCTGCTGTAACCTGGGCAGGGAGAGCTGTCGGGGTGCAGACCGCCCGTTTGGTCCCTCCTGAAGCCGCTCTGTGCTCTGAGGCAGCAGCTGCAAACAAGGCTAAGGCAACGCTGGCCCTTGGGGACTGGGATTTTAATCAGCTTGAAAAAGAAAGCAGGGCACGGGGTGCCCTCCGGACGGCTGGGAGCTCGGCACAGCCCCGGTGCGTGGTGCTGGGGGGTTCAGGAGCAGTAGCTGAGACCTGGGGCTGGAGCAGTGGATCTGGCCGTGGTGGCACTCGCTGGCTTCCCTCCTTATCTTACTGGCTCAGGAGGATGCTTTAAGTGGTGGCCGGCCCTCTTCTGTCTCCTCTTTCTCCTGCCAACTACTCAGGTCCCTTTCAAAATCTGTCTGTGACCCGAGCCTGGTCCCGCCAGGCTCCGAGCACGGCGGAGGGGACACTGCAACCCCTCCGGGCTGGCGCTGATGGGAGCTGAGGGCACTCGGTGTTTTCCACAATCTGGCTCTTAATCTACGAGGGGAAAGTCTAAAAATGCTAAACATCCCAGCAATGTGCCCACCTCTCTCCAGTTATGCGGCCTTATCTCGGCGGGGCGCTCCCTGCCAGCAGCACCCTCTTGTGGTGCGCGCCTCCTCCAGCTCCCTGGTGGGGCCGGGCTGCGTGACCCTCCTCTGCTCCACTTCCAGCAGCTGGGAGAAACCTTCCCAAGCCCCACGGGTCATCAGAATATCGATGCTGAAAGGCTGCAGGCTCCTACGGCAAGAGCAGAGCGGTCTTCACGGGTGCAACTTCTTCCCTAGGACCTCAAGGGCGTTCTAGGAACCTAAAGAGATTTCCTCCTGCAGCTGTTTTCCTTGATATGATGTGATTCCAGTTTCTTCCCGTCTCCTCCATCACCCAGACAAATCCGATGACGATTCAAGGCTCTTACGTAGTTTTGGAAGCTTTAGTGGTTTTTTTTGGAGCAGGGCAAAAGCTCGTCCTCAGGCAGGAGCTGCCAGCAGCAAGGTGTCCTTGGGCTGGGCTGGCAGAGGAAGGGGATGGGGAAGGGGAAGGCACGCTGCTGCCTGCAGCTCTGCTGCCTTTTGCCTCCAAACGAATCACAGAATCACCGAATTTCTATTTCTTTAACATGCAAGGGAACCATCAACACAACCGGAGTCTGGGGTGCCCTGCGTGTCTCAGATTCCTTTGCAAAGGGGATGCTGGAAGCACAGCCACGAGGTGCCCTCCATCCATCCCTGCGCTCCTTGGCCGCGTGCTGGCTCTGGGGGAGCTCCATCTGCTGCCATCCGAGGGCTGGGGCCGAGTTCCCCCTCCCGGCCCGCGTGTGCCTGGCGGCTCTCCCAGCCCTCACCTTTGCTGCGGGAAGGGCGCACGGGAGGCTCGCAAGCTGCTGATTGCTGGCACCTCGTAGCAGAAGAGCAGAGGAGACGGTTTGGGCCGAGGTTCTGAGTCCTTTGCTCTTACTCCACGCTGGCGAAGGGCGCCCGGCTGACACCCCGTTAACTTTTGTGCTCCTTTGCTTTCCAGCGGAACTTTCCCAAGCGATGAACAGCGGAACGGCCTTGTCCAAGCCTTCCCCTCCTCTCCCACCGAAGAGAGGCCTCCTGCCTAGCACCACGACAGAGGCAGCTCCGGCTTCCAAGCCCCCGAGCGACAGGACGCTGACGGCAAGCCGCCCCGTGCTGATCCCCATGCACATGGCCCCCGCGTACCCACCGCCCTCGCCATCGCCGCCGCTGCCCACGCACGTGCCACCGGAGCCTCCCCGCGTGCCCTTGCCCACCTCCACCCCCGTCCTGGACCCTCCCCGCTCCCTGGACCTGCCCAAAGAGCCCCCAGCTCCTCCTGAGGACTTCAGGTCCCCCCGAGGCGGCGAAGAGGACGGCGGAGCAAGGCTTCGGCGAGCCCCACGCGCTGCCGCGCCTGCCCCAGGTCCCGCTGCACATTCGGATCCAGCAGGCTCTGGCCAGCCCCCTGCCCGTCACGCCGCCTGCCGACGGCTCGCACCGAGCCCACTCGCTGCTCTTTGAGAACGACGCCTTCGGGGAGGACGGCGGCACGCTGGGCAGGACGAGGTCCCTGCCGGTCACCATCGAGATGCTGAAAGTGTGAGTACCTCCCCGGCACCTCCAGTGCTTCCCCGACGCGCTGGAGTTGCGCCCCCTGCTTCTCACAGCCAGGCTTTGAAAAAAGAAAAAAGAAAAATGGGCTGCAAAGAAAGCAGCCCTGGTTTCTTTGCAACACTCCAGAAACCCATTTTGCCCCTTGGCTGAATCTTTCAGCCCCTCAGGGGCCCCGGTGCATCTTCCCCGTGAAGTTAACCGCAGTTCTGCAAATTTATCACTCCCAGGGAAATGTGTTCCGGAGTACAAATGCAGGCTGGTGCCAGCAATCCGGCCTGGCTTTAATTGCACGAAGGCAGAGCGAGGTTCTGGGTTTCATCCAGTCGTGGCCTGCCTAACCTTGCAAAAGGGAAGCAGGAAAGGGGCTGTCTCGTGTGTACCAGAGCTGAACCTGAAAGCCCCAGAGCAGGGTAGCGAGAGGCTCTCTTGTTTCTGCAGTGAGCCTGTGTCTGGCATTGCCCCCGAGAGCTCCCTGTGCTGTGGGGAGAGGATTTTGGGGGACAGAGCAGGGTCACGGGGCTCTTCTGTCTCTGGTTACGGGGTTCCCGCAGACCATGGGCTGAGCGCAGCCAACAGGGGATTCCCCGGCCCCGTGGGATGTGTTGAGATGTAATAGTGAGCTTCTCGTTAGTCCAGACGATGAGGAAGAGGAAGAGGAAGACCAGGAGGAAGAGCAGGCTCCGGGCCCCCGTGTGTATATCGGAGATGTGCCGTCCGTAACGATCATCCCCAAGCTGGTGCCCCAGGTGCTGCCGGAGGAGCAGGAGGGAGACGAAGGGATGAGCGACTCTGACTCGGAGGGGCCCATCCTGTACAAAGATGACGAGGATGAGGAAGAAGATGAAAGCCATAACAGTAAGGCTGTGACATTGCAGCTCCCTCCTTGCCCCTGCTGAGCTCGGTCCCGGCTGTACCATGAGCTGTATCAAAGAGCTGGCTCACGCAGTGCTTGCACGCAGCTGGCTCTTGGTTTCATGCCCTACCACGTCCTCTCCCCTGCTTTTTCAAAGCCTGCAGCAGCCAAACCTGTACGTTCAGCTGCTGAGATGCTCTCCCTCCAGCTGCAGATGGTTCATGCAATAGCCTGTGCTGTCTCACCCCTTCAGGTGGGGTGAGCTGCTGGCATGGCGCAGGGATGCTGGCTGCTGCTGTGGTGACCAGTTCTGGCACAACTGGGAGCTGTGGTGCTGAGCTGGGAAAGCAAACCCCGGGGGAGAGCACTGCTGCCAGGGGCTGTGCTCAGGTTCTGCAGCCCCCAGTCACATCCCATCGCTCTCCCCGCAGGCACGCTGGCTAACAAAGTGAAGAGGAAAGACACGCTAGCCATGAAGCTGGGGAGCACGGCTGCGGTGCAGGAAGAGAAGTTTGTCTTCCCTCGGAAGAGCAAGGAGGAGTGGAACGAAATTCGGAACCAGATCGGGTCGACGCTGACCAGGTACCACAAGCAGAGGAGGGTTCCGTGCGAACCATTGGTATGGCCGGGGGGGGGACTGGATAAAGCTGGTGTCTTGTCAAAGCAGCCTGTGCTGTGAAGGCTGGAATCTTCTCCTGGCATTGAGCGGTATCTCCTAACAGGCCCCTGGTTCCAGGTGTTAAATGGTTTGGGAGGGGAAAATCTCCAGGAGTACAGAAGTGTTACTGCCATAAAATACAGATGGCCTGTAAAGATGAGGACAGATGCAGGCAGTGCTGATGCATCAGTGCTGGGTGAAGCTGGGGCTGCTGATGTTCCAGTCTCTGCTCACCTGCCCTGAGAAGTTTCTCTGAGCTCTTGGGGGTCACAGCACTTCCCTAACCTGGGCCTGGGGCTGAGCAGCTTGCTTGAGCAGAGGGGAGGAGAGCCCCAGACAGGGCAGCAGTGATCTCCAGTGGTGGCTGAGCAGCTCCGAGGAGGTTTGGGAGCGCTCAGACCACAAAAGCAGTGGTGTTCTTCATCCCCTGCTGATGGGTGACCAGATGACAGGCGCCTCATGTGTTCTGCTTTCCTTTAGGCGACTGAGTCAGAGACCGACAGCAGAAGAACTGGAGCAGAGGAACATACTTCAACGTGAGTAACGCTCCTCCGGTGGTCCTAAGTAACACAAGCTGCCGTGTTTCCCATCTCACGTTTTAGTACGTGGATACGTGGAGTATGTACAGATGGGGATGCTGTGGTTACATCACTGTAGGAAAGCAGATCTGACTTTTCCCAGTACTTTGTTACCACCGGGACCTGGATAAAATCAGGCCTTCAGCAGTGGCACCAAGCAATAGAGTTCAGAGCATCACATTGTGGCAGCACTACCTGTCCCCTGCCTGAAACCTCGGGGCTAAATATGTGAACTGGTTAAGACTCTGCTCTGAAGTTACACAACAAGGACTGTTACAGGTTTCTGTTTGGGCTGGACTTTTATTTGTGGCCCAGACATTGCAGCGTTGCCCTGTACCATCCAGAAGGCAGCAGCTCGCTGTTCAGTGAGCCGTGTTTCTCGTGGCCACACCTTGTTCTGCAGCACTTTTAAACATCTTTGGGGAAAGGGAGATGTCAGTTCAGGAAGTTTCCATTTAAAATATTTATCTGCACTGCTGTTCTCTTTAAACTATTAGTATAATAGCTTTGGGGAAGAGCGATCTGCAAAGAGGCTTGGATGTGTTTTGACAGCATGGCCATTAATCTTTAACATACATGCAGCTGGAGAGAATGACTCAGCCGTGCCGTGTTACGGCCCACGGTACCACCAGCACTCAGTGTGATAAAGCTCGACATTCTTCTCTGTTCGGGTCCAGAAGGTGCTTTTTAAAACCTGTGATGCTTACGGGGAAAAAATCGTTGTTTTTTTTTTTTCCTCTTGGCAGCGAAAAATGAAGCCGACCGTCAAGCCGAGAAGCGAGAGATCAAACGCAGGCTCACCAGAAAGGTACTGCTGGCCGTCGTGCTGCCACTGCCATCTGGCAGAGCTGTCGGGGCCGGTGGTGGCTCTGGGCACGTCGCAGGCACCTTGCTGCGGGTGAAGTCACGGGGCTGTTGTGTAACTGTCCCCGGTGCCCTCGGACTGCGGGATGTGGTCTGTCAGCCACGGCCAGCCCCTGGCACCGCAGCCAGTTTTGGTGCTGAGGGCTCTGAGGTGTAACAAGCGAGGTGAGCTCTGTTTGGCACCTGGCACTTGGAAGTTTTGCCCGTGCTGGCCTGTTACAGCAGCGCTGCAGTGGCCACGGCATTCGCACCGGGCTCCCCAAAACGCATTTCACAAGCAACAGCTCACAAGAAGCTGAGCAGAGCTGCTTGTAGCTGTGATGCCCAAGTTACACGTGGCTGGGGAGTATCTTCCAAGGGCCTGCAGATATGAGACGTGAGTTCTGCTGTAGCTGAAACATAAAATAGGCTTGGTGTTGTGTGGGGCCACCCTGCAGTGGCTGTTCCCAAGCCCCTCGTTCTGTCTTCCTGGGAGTGTGGCCTCGGATCTGCCCTTGTGGCCTCGTGAGCCAAACAAGATCTGTTAGAGGTAAATTGTGAGAGGATTTGCCTGGTCTGCAGGCTGCATCGTGATCAGGACCCCGGTGTCCCAGCGAGGGAACTGGTCTCTGTTTCGGTCTCTGGGGACAAGGCACACACTGACTTTATGTTCTTGCATTCAGCTTAGCCAAAGGCCTACGGTGGCAGAGCTGCAGGCCAGGAAGATCCTGAGGTTTAACGAGTACGTGGAAGTGACAGATGCTCAAGACTACGACCGGCGAGCAGATAAGCCGTGGACAAAGCTCACTCCGGCTGACAAGGTACCAGGAAGTGTCCTGTTCCCAGGTGGGGCAGGGAGCTAGGTCAGGGTGTCCCCAGCAAAAGGCTGAGAGCCAAGATTTGCTCTTTTTTCTCTTTTTAACCTCTGCATCTTTCTCTCTGCCACCCCACCAAGCACCACCAGTGCTCCATCACCCACGTGTGCTGTACCCAGCCCTGTTCCTGCCCCCTCCATGGTGACAGGGAGCCCACAGGGGCACTGCCTGCACTGCAGTGAGACCTGTCTGGGCTTCTGGGTGGTGTAAAAGGTTCAAGGCACAGGGTGCTGCTTGGGGGAGTGCAGTTTTTCATAGGCTGAGGCAGGTTTAGGCAAGCTGGCGGGGAAGACGCCTCTTCTCATCTTCCCTGGCCACTTGTGGGGACTGCCCGGTGCAGAGGAGGTGTGGGGCAGATTAAATTCTGCCTGGTGTGAAGGATCTGTGAAAGTTTGGGTGGCTGCTGCAATCTGAGCTCCTTCCTCTACCAAAAGGAGCTGAGGGACTGAGGCTCATGTTTAAAAACTGCTCTTACTCTTCGCTTCACCACTGAAAGGTGATGGAGATCAGCCCTGAGCAGGAGCGTTGGAGCCACGGCACCTTCTTGCCGTGTCTGAGCTCACTTAAAAGGGGGGATAGAGGGTCGTGTGCCCCAGCAGGAGATAAAGATCTCTCCCTTTTCCCGCAGGCTGCCATCCGGAAGGAGCTAAACGAGTTTAAGAGCAGTGAAATGGAAGTCCACGAGGAGAGCAAACAGTTCACGCGGTGAGACCACAGCGCTCGCGTCGTCTGTGCCGTTGGGGGAGCTGTGCTGCAGGGGTGCTGCTGGGAGGCAGAGCATTAAATCCTCAGGAAAAATGACCCATGTGGCTCCTGCAGATTTAACATCCCTTTCCACCTTGGTGTTCTTGGGTGGCAGGACATGAAGAGGTGTTCTTCCCTAAACTGGGGGGATCCTGGAAACTCAAAGTGGCCAGCAGAGCACTAATGCTTTCGAAGGCAGGGGTGAAACTGTTAGCAGCTTCAGTGAGGGCTGAAAATTCAGAAATGATTCAGTTTATTCTTTCTCACAATCTGTAATGCTTCAGTAACCGTTTAACCCAAGTTCCGTGGATGACACTTTGGTGTTTTTTTTTTTTCACTTGGCTTTTAGGTACCATCGACCATAATCTTCCAAGAAGGAGCAAGAGACCCAAGAGGACTGGAAGTTCTCTGCGTCCCTCTCCTGGGCAATACAGCAAGGGTAGAACCTTGCCTCTTCCAAGATTTGCCTTCAAAACATATCCAGAAAAGGGCTTTCGGCCAGGGAAGGGGGAATCCTGTCTGAATGTAGCATTTCACTGGAACAAACACGTCTCGAGTGCCATCGGGCTGGAACTGAACACTATACCTCGCGCAGCTCAGCAATACGCCTCTCCTCGGCGCCAGCATCCCTGCCAGGAGCCCACGCACGTGTGAGCGAGCAGTTCCTTCCCCAGCTCCCTTCCTGTCGTGACGGGCCCGGTTCTCAGCTGTACATACTCCTTTTGGGTGCAAACCCTTCGTTTCCTCTCTCTTTACCTAGAGGAGGGAAAAACTCGGCAGCTCTGGTGTTGGAGAGCTGAGGAATGGAGAGTGGATGTGCGAGGAAGCACGTGTGTATATTAGCTGTGTACAGAGAACCCTGTGCAGATGCTGAGCTGGCAGACAACTGACACGTGACTCGTAATTTTTGGGATTTGCTCGCGTCTGTCATATCTTTCATGTCCTGAATCACTACTGACCAACGGTTTGTTGTCCTGGAAGGGAATTGTATAGATATTAACATATGCTGCATCTTTTTTTTTTTTTTTTTTGTAAAAAAAAATCAAAACAAAAGAACTTAAAAACAGGAAAAAAAGGCAAAAAAAAACAAAACACAAATGTATAAAGCATTCCCTCCCTGCTCTCTCACACCTGCGGTGATGTTAATGGATCTTGTCTTGAGAATATCTGGGCTCGTTTAACAAATCACAGAACCAGGAAACGACTGTTGCCTTTTTTAAAACTTTTTAATTTGGGGAAGCTGTGGTAGTAGTAAATCCTTTTTATCGTCGCTTCCTCTCAGATGTTTTTTTTTTTTACTTTCCCAAATCAGGGTGAAACTTGCCTTTTCTCATTTTTACAGCAAAACCTACTGGAAACTTGATAATTTCACTGCGTGGGTGGAAGGTGCGGGGAGGAGAAGAGGCTTAAAAAAAGTGACCTTAAAATAGATTACTCTTGCTCTTCTGAGAATCTCGTGTTGGTTCTTCCGAAACTTTGGGTTCGAAACCTGGTGTGGGCGCCCTGCTGTCTCATGCACGGAACTAACCCACGTGTGAGGTGCCACTAGCCACGAAGGGACTATCACGGGCCCATGGGGGGTGGGAATGAAGAGGGGGGCTCGCCTCCATCGCAGCCGTGCCGGCGTGGTGCTCGGGCTGTTTTGGGAGCCCTGTGGCAGGCTGCGCTGCCTTTGCCCTCAGGGGGTGCGCGTCCCTCACAGCTTCCCCGTGTACAGTACGGCTGTAGACTGAATCATTGCGTTGTATATCTGTCTCCTCATCAACAGATTTTAATTATTGAATAAAAGTATTTTAGGATTTTTTTTTAAACTGCTGCTCTGGTTGTGTTTTAATGGCTCCTGTTGGAGGGGGTTGAGGGTTCACAGGTCTCTGCTCCCCAGAAGCAGGGGACATCATGAGGTGGAGGGGACCCCACAGGGATCACTGGGTCCAACTCCTGGCTCCACACAGCACCACCCCGAAACCAGACCCGATGTCTGACAGTGTGTCCAAATGTTTCCTGAGCTCCGTCAGGCTGGGGGCTGTTACCATGTCCCTGGGATCCTGTCCCAGTGCCCGACCACCTCTGGGTGCAGAACCTTTCCCTAACCCCCAGCCTGACCCTCCCCTGTCCCAGCTCCATGCCGTCCCCTCGGGTCCTGTCGCTGTCCCCAGAGAGCAGAGCTCAGCGCCTGCCCCTCCGCTCCCCTGTGAGGGAGCTGCAGGCCGCCATGAGGCCTCCCCTCAGCCTGCTCTGCTCTGGGCTGAACTTTTGCCTTAAAAGTCAGTCAAATAAACTCTCAGAGGCTCAATTTGGGTTTTAGGAAGCAGACATTCTTTAATTGTGGCACCAGACACACGGGATCATCCCACCCAGTGTGTGCCCAGTTATCTAGGCTACAGCCATTACATACAATCAAACCATGCACATCCAGCAGGTTTCCAATAACCAACACATTCATACAGTTTCCCGTAACATTAAAATATGTAAATGGCCCTGACACGTGCACAATTGTTCCCACTGGTGGTTTTTTGGGGGGAATCTGGTGATTGTCAGTGGTCTTCCTCATTGTTTTTGCGGCATGAACCCAGGCCTTGTGCATGCCCGGGTTGTCTCGTCCATTTTTATCTCATTCCAGTTTGGACGTGCACACTAAATGAAGTGATTTCTCCTCAGCAAGAGCACTCAGGCGTTGGGACGGGTTGCCCAGGGAGGTGGGGGAGTCCCCGTCCCTGGGGGTGTTCAGGGAGAGGTTGGACGTGGTGCTGGGGGACACGGTCACTGGGTGTGTGTGGGGGGGTGTGGGGGTGTGGGGGGGGGAGCGTCCATGACCCCAATCCCCCTCAGCCCCTTCCCACCTTCCCACTGCGCATGCTCCCCCTCCCGCTGCACCCGGCCCCTTTCCCGCCAAAACTCCTTTTGCACACGAGCCGCTCAGCCCTCCCTCTTGCCCTCCGCGCATGCGCGCCCAGGCCCCGCCCCCCGGCCGCTCTATAAATATCGCCGCGCGCAGCCCCTCGCTCTCTTTCCACGGCGGGGGGCGAGGGATGCGGAAGGTGAGCGGAGCGCGGCCTTATCTTCATCTCATTTTTTTTTCTCTCTACTATTTTTTCCTCATTTCTTGTCTTTTTCCTCTTCTCCTCGCTGTGCCGTATGGAGCCGGTGACCTTCATGAGGGTGGTGCTGCTCACAGCCAGCCCGGGGCCCACCGCGGCCTACCTGCGGCCTGAGGGGGGCAGGGGGATACCCCGGGGTGGGGGGGGGCAGCGCCGCCTCTCACCGCCTCCTCTCCTTTCCCACAGGTTTGTTCCTGATGCTCGGGCCGGCTTCGCCCAGCTTTGCTCCACCAGTGAGTGTCTGCGTGGGTCTGGGGGGTTATAAGGGGGTGTGGGGGGGTTATAAGGGGGTCTGGGGAGGCTGGGGGGATTTAAGGGGGTGTTGGGGGGATGGGGGGGTATAAGGGAATGGGGGGGGACACAGACCCCAACGTGGACATCCGGAGAAGTCGCTCTCTCATGGCTCTGTCCGTGTGGCGCACGGGAGCGTAGGCCCTCGGGCCTGTGACGTACAGTCCCCTTCCACGACGTTGGAGAACAAGCCGGGCCTCGAGTCTGCAGCCTGCATATTCCTACTGCTTCTCTGAGCCCCCGGGCCGTTACAGAGGAGATAAACCATGCAGGAAACAAATCACACGGGGGGATTTCGGCTGGGGGCATGGGGAGGCGGGAGGGTGCAGTTCGGACAGTTTGAGCAGTTATTTAATGCCTTTTCTTTGTTGTTTCAGTTGAAAAGTTCGATGTTTGTGGAGCACCGCTTTGGGAGGTGAGTGATTCTGCACAAATGTGTAGTTTTACCTTGTCATCTTGATAGCTTCCCCTTTAAAAAAGCTTTAAGTACTTGTTTTGAACTGGCTTATGCAAGTTGAAATGGATCACGGGTTTGAAGTAATGAAATGCCAATGGTGTTTAACAGATGTTAGTAGATGTTTATACATACAATTATATATACAATATAGATGTTTAACAGCAAAAGTTTAGTTTGTGAGTTCCTTAGATCCTGAGCTTTTGTTGGACTGATAAGAGGCCTGCTCCTAAATATTAGAAAAACGGGGGAAAAAACTGGTGAAGTAAAAGTGAATGATGGGGCTTAATTGGCTTTTGAGGCCTTAACTATTCTGTAAACTGCAAAGTCACGGAGGCCCTGGCTTAGACCCTTGCCCTTGTGAAACCTGACCCAGCTCAGCCATTTTGTCATCTCAGCCTCATCTGAACAAGAACAATCCATGTGCACTCACCAGATTCACATGTTAATCACTCACAAAGCAGACTTCTTGTGTTTTTTACCCCTGGGAAGGATGTGTCAGTAATGTGGGTGCTGAAGCACTGGGCTTTTACTGGGGAGAAGGGAAATGGAAGGCACGTGGCTTGCTGGGAGCATGTGGCTGTACTGTCCCTGGTCGTGTCTGTGATGGGCTAGCAAAATGGATTGTGCTTCCTGCCAGGTTATAAGTAGGAAATAAGTAGGAAAATCTGTGTGGGACACAAGTAATAAGCTTTCTTGATTTTTTTTTTTATCCATGTTGCAGACACTGATAAAGGCTTGTGAGTGCTACCAACAGCAGCCTGCATACCCAGTGAGGGTGAGGTGAGTGTGCCCCAAGCACAGCTCCAGCCCAAATGCTGAGCAGAGGTGGTGGCTGAGGTTCGGTCCCTGCAGCGGGTACAGTCTGAGCCTCTGCAGAGTTCAGAGCGGGCTGGAAATGGGAGAAAGAGCCTACACGTGGTGACCTCAGAGCACGTGCTTTGTGCTGGGGGCCTGCAGTGACCTCCAGAGCACCCAGAGGCTGCAGGGGGTTGTGTGGCTGCTGTGTGAGGTGTCATGTGAAGGAAAGCAGGGGCTGAACCCCTGTGGGCGAGCTGCACCCTGAGGAACATGTGTGAAGAGCTGGGGGCTCTGGTGGGTTGCCGTGCCTCATCTGCACCAGCTGGGGGGAGCACGTGGCTGAGCACCACCTGAAAAGGAGCCCAAGAAGAAAAATGGGGCACTGGGAGCTGTTGTGGCTGTGGGGGAGGCTGCCTGGTGCTGGGGAAGGGGGTGAGAGCGGGCGCATGGTGTGGAGGTTGTGTACAGCTGGTGGGCAGTGTCCATCTGGGAAGTTTGGGGTTTCTGTGTTTTGGGACCTGTGATGCTGTGCCTGACAAATAAAGATCTTTGAAATGGTGTTGTGTGGCTGTTCTCTCTGGTATGACTGCTAGATGTGGGTTTGCTCTCTGAATGGAGCTCGGAAAACCCCAAGGAAACGTTTCCAATTCGGTGTTGCTGTGGTTGGGTTCCACCCCCTTGGGTGGGTGCAGCCTGCCCTCTGCTCCTGGGACTGGGAGGCTCAACGTGAGCAGCACTGGGTGTACTGGTGCAGACCCCAATAATGCAAGTTCTGTAACTTCAGAGCCCTCAGGAGTCTGGGGGTGGGGGTCCTGGAGGCTGTACCTCTGGCTTTAGGGTTAAATTAGGATTTTGTTAAACATACTCAGGTGTTTCTTCCCCTCTGTTAAGTGAAGGACTTAGAGCTGTTTAATTCCTGGTGGACCTGTGAACACCTCGGGAGCTTTAACCCCGCCTGTAAGTAGCTGCTAGCGCTGGCCCCAGGGCAGGGGCTGGGGGGGGCCTCGGAAACGTCTTAAAACGGGGGGGGGGGAAGAAGCGAGGTGGTGTCGGGGGCTGGGCAGGGGAGCTACAGGGAAGGCTGGGGAGGGAGCCCTGAGCTGGGGAGGCTGAGCGAGTTGTGCCGCTCGCTTTGGGGAAAGAATTGGCTAAAACGGGGCTGAAAATTGCTCTCTGGGGGCTGGAGTCGGTGCCTTTTTTTATTTGGGGGGGCTGCCGGGCCTCTGGCCGTGATCCTGATCACTCATGGGGCAAAAAGAATGGATCCGGAGGGGCTTGTGGGGAGCCCCCCAGAGGCATTCATTGCCGGGGGGGGGCAAACCCCTTGCTGTGGGGCTCCCCCCCAAAAAAAAATCACCCCACGGGGGGGGGGGGGGGGGATGCTCCAGGTCCGTCCCGCACCGCCCCAGCCCCTCGCTGGGGGGGGTACAGCCACCCTAGGCCTCCCCCACGTCCATACCCGGCCCCCCCCCCCGAAGCCACCACCAGAGGGCGCCGGTGCCCCCCCCATGTCCCCGGTGTCCCCCCCCCGGGGCCGTCCCCGCGCATGCTCGGGGCCGGGAGCGCGGCGGCGCGGAGGTGGGAGCGCGGCCACGGGCTGGGGGCACCGGGGAGGAGGGGGGGGTGGTGGGAAAAGGGGACGGGGAGGGTGGGCACCGAGGTGGGAGGGGGCTGGGGACCGCTGCTCCTCCCGGGTGGGTGCAGTTTGGGGCCCCCCCCGGCTCGGTGTTGGGCTGGGGAAGGCCGGGGAGGAAGCGGAGGGGGGTGGTGGGGAAGGACGGAGGGACGGGCAGGGGGGCGGGCGGGAGATTCAAACGGGGATTAGCGGGGAAGGGGCTGGGGGGGGCACAGGGGGTGCTCCCAGTCCCTGGTTTCTCCCTGGGGTGGCCGCGGAGGGGTTTGGTGGGGAGGGCAGAGCGTGCTCAGGGCACGTGGGGGGGGGGGAAATGTGCAAGGAAAACAAAAAACGGGGAGGGTACAAACCGGGGGGGGTCGGTGCCCAATCCTCACCCTCAGTCCCACAGGGGATGGAGGCTGCGGCGATCACAGGGGAAAAATCCCAGCTGGGTGACCCCCCCAACAGTGCCTTTGTCTGTTCAGGTCTCAGCCACCATGCCGGGAAAACGCGGCGCAAAGAAAAGCCCCGTGCCACAGACGAGTCTCCTGC